TGAGCGTTGGCGAGGGAGAGCATTACTCCGAGGGTTTATATTGGCTTTTTGTCTCGAGGTGAAAACTATACTTTGACTTCGTTATCGGGAGAAAAAACAATATTTCAATCGATTTCACTCTACAACAAAATTACGAACCAAAATTCTGAAATTTTCACGGTATGCTTTTTCCAACCTGACACAGATATAACAAACACACTAACGCGGGAAAATAATATGGCGCCACCGTCATATGCGGAAAAGGCACAGAACTAAAACCGAGCGTACTACCGGCTGTTTGAGTTTGTTCACTCGAAGTAAATTAATAAAAAATGGTATTTTTAAAGAGATTAAACGTCACGCGGTCTCTGCGCGGCGGCCACGCGGTCTCTGCGCGGCGGCCACGCGGTCTCTGCGCGGCGGCCACGCGGTCTCTGCGCGGCGGCCACGCGGTCTCTGCGCGGCGGCCACGCGGTCTCCGTGAGCGCGATGAAATTCGTGCCGAATAAATATATTATTATTTAAAAACCATGAATTTGAAGTCTTGAATTACTCTTTGTGTTGTCTTAGTTGTCAACCCATACAGGGCCAGCTTGGCAGACAATGGTCCAAAAACTTCTATAGGAGATCAAGGTTGATATTATATCGCCTAAATTGATTTTCTCTATTTAATTTGCAAAAAATTTGGTACATTTTACTCAGTCGCGAGCGGAAACTAGTAACACATATTTTCAGATTAACAACATAATATAAAGTAAGCATTATCAATGAATACCATTTGGTAACGCCTTTGTCACTTTATGCTCCAGTTATGTCGATTTTAAACTGAATGTATTCAATAAAAAAATTTGTTACGGTTGACCGAGGATTGTTTCGGTTTATCAGATCCGCCTTTATGATTTTAAAGGTTACACAGTTAAAGTAAGCATAGCTGGTTTATTATTATTCTTGAAAAAAAATCAAGCGCATCGTATAGCCTTGTTCAATCAATTACATTATTACCGGTAACTTCCATTACGTGTATATTTTGGGCATTAGGAGTGGTCCTTGTTGGACTCCACATTTAAGCCATTGATATATGAAAATAAGATATTTAACCAAGGAAAGAATTGTACCGTCATGCGGTTGTATCAAGTTCTATTAGTACTATTTCGTTACTTTGGCATTTACTCGTAGTACCATTGTACTTACCATTATCAGTGTGAAAAATGACGACGTATGTAAATGTTGTCCTCTGGACACCGTAACTTTTTTTAATGATACCAAGTAAGAAAGTTGCCTATCCGTAGCCATTGCAGTGCCACTCAGAGCTTTAAGTCGCAAAGATCTCAAGGGCGACGTACAGTCAACCTGAGATATAAATTGACAAGCCCCTTGTGTCTGTAATTTAACCAGCATCCTTCAAAACCGGAACACAGTAATGCTCACATTACGTACTACTGGACGGCAGAAATAGATAAGGTGGCAGTACTGCTCTGGACGAACTCTTTCACAAGGAGCTTTGCTGTTGTTAAAACTAGTCTGTAGTCTGCGAAAATGTCATAGATAAACCTACACAATCAATTAAGTTTGACCAACCCCAAGTCCTTGCAAAAGAAGTCTGTTTTTGTTCAGATGATTGATGCTGCTAGAGGCAATTGAAATGAAAAAATGTCCTAATACTGAGTAGGAAGATGGCTTCTCCGTACCACCAGTTAGGGATCCAGTATTTCTTATAATCAAAAATCCTAAGCAATCAAGACTCCATCACTACTCACTAATATGTTTTATTTTATTCCTAATTTAATTTGAATTATGTAGGTAATAAATTTTATTTAATAACAAAAATATGTTGATGAAAATGAAATTCCGAATGGGATGGTTTGCATTGACATTAGATATGATTGGTTGATGACTTTGTCATCTCAGTCAGTGACCGTCCCGTGGTCTGTAAAGAGCCCGAAAACTGGTTTGTTTAAAAAAAAACAAATATACGCGATTTTTATTTCCAATTTGTAGCAACCAGTGATGGGCAAGCACCCGGGTTTAATCCGGCGCTTTGTTAACGCTGGCTTTTAATCGGCTTAAAATCCATTAACGCCTGAAATCGTGGGCAGAAACATTTGTAAATGGAGTTTCGTTCAAATTATAAAATGTTTATTGCTCACTTTACATATTTCGCCTTTCTATTGAATGATTTGCTAGAAAATCCCATAGAAATGAATCGATACAAAAACTCGTTATCGTATACACTTACATTGATTTTCATAAAAATCGAATCGTTACGTGCATCTTCAGTAGTAAGTGAGAGTCCACAGGATTGTGTGGAATTTGTTCTTTTTCGCCTAGTATTGGGGTTCTTAAAGTCGAGCACCGTATTTAGGCTACATGTTTTCGACGAGTGGCCTAAACAATAGGTACAATATTTTAAGACCTAATAATGTATGGATTGCATACAATACTTGTTCTACGAGTGAATAAATAATGAAACAAAACCAATATTTTAATGTATATTTTTTTAACAGTTCATGACTACGAACGCAATTATTTTTAAATTAATTTTAACTCATTTATGGTTTAACTCATTTAGGTATGCAAATATTCGACCATACAGCCTCTTCATATATTTAGACGAAAGCCAAACAAATACTACAAAACAAAAAACCAAAGAGATAGAATAGAAGTAGCCACTTGGCCATATATTTTAAACAATATTTTTTTTAATAAAGATTTATGGTTCGGTTGGAAGACTATTAGGCCAATTTAACCAATCAGGAGGCGGTATAGCGTTTGAGTAGCGTCCTAATTGATATTTTAATCAGCAAAGATGTTCTTTCTTGAAACTCGTTATAATTCTATGGACACAACTTTAATGACATTTTTCAGCTCAGTGGCGAGTACAAGTACAATGGAATTTTGATTCAGAACTAAAAAGAGCGCTTTATGATAAGGTTTAAAAAAATGTAATTGACAGATCGAGGTACAGGAATAGAACAAATAAAGATTTTTTACATCGACATTTCTAACAAGTAAGGAATTATACCAAATTCCATATTATTTTAGGCGTATAATGTTTCTACCTACGATTTTGGCCAGAAATGGTTTAAAACCGTGGATTTTTACCCCATTTTGGGTGAAAACCCTATTAAAACCCGGGCGTGTTGATAGGGTTTCAACCCACTATTCATCACTGGTAGCAACCGCAGAGTCAAAAGTTGAATGAATGTAATATTTTTGAGTGCATATTGACATTGTAGATCAAATTTCGATATATACTTTTTATTACTTGTTAAATAAAAAAGTACAATGGCAACTAAACAATACGAAAATATAAAAAAGAACCTAATGTATGTTAATAGCGGTAATCAATACACTTTTGTTAATCCTAGCTATGAGTACAATGATTGCGCTGTTACAGGAATTTAAGATGTATCTAATAAAATTGCCAACGTTTAGTTGTCATAGAAACAAACTCTAGAAACCAGTCGATCGCCATTAAACTTCGGTTGTTACATCTATTGAATAAATACACCAAAATTGAGTTATCCGTGACCTCTACAGATACGCTTATAAAAGGGTACATGGAGCCGAAACTGTCAGTTTATCTCCACCCACGAAGCTGGCAAAGGCGACTTAAAACGAGCTACCCAAATTACTGTAAAAATGTTGGTAATTTTCTTTGCGACGTTCATCGCAGCGACGTCTGCAGCGGTTATCCACGATGGGCCCTGTCCTGACTTGAAGCCAGTTGAAAACTTCAATTTAACAGCTGTAAGTGTTTTCTTATTTTCAAGATTTCTCATTTTTGTTAGATTTTCATTTGTTTTTCTAGCTCTACTTTTTGTAGTTGTATACATAGCTAGTCTATATAGACGACCAAAGTACTTTTTATTAGTAGTACCAAATTACGCTTTCTTCTAGTAAATTTTGGTGTTTACTTTATCAGTAAAGAGATTTACTTTAGTCAATGGATTTTTTATAGAGTTCACATTCATTCAGGTTCCATATTTTGTCTTTTTAAATATTATGTTCTGTTAACATGAGTTAATGTGACTTATTTAAAGCAATCGAAAATCTGTAGGTCAGTAAATTTTACACGTTTTCCGATATTAGACGATATTTTGTTAAAAAATTAACTAATTTCAACCAAAAACTGTATTAGTAAATGGGTTGTACACAAACATTTATTTAAACGGACAATTTAGCTTATCATCATCATATCGCAGTCGGCTACAGGACTTAGTAGGTCTCTCAAATTATAAACCATTATCACCAACTCAACATCTCACTGTCGTATTTTCAACTTCTCAATGCGACTTGGGGAATTCACACGTTTTCCAGGGGTTTGAATTATCATCGACATATAGGGCTTCATCGCGATCATTTCTTTCACCATTACCGAGAGATATTGCTACTAAATATTCCCACCAATGTACGTAACTTGGATATTAAAGTCTTGAACCTGCCGCCACAGGGATTCAACCTCTCCAAACACCACTATAAAAAAAACACGGAATCAAAACCTTTAAATTTCAAAAAAGCCAGAAACTAAATACTGCTACGGCGTATCTTGCTTTTTTTCAATACCTTGTTACGGGACGTACAAGTTGTGCATCTGCTGGTAAGCGACACGCCTATCCACAACAGTTGCACTCAGACACTTGTGACGCTCAGAGCTTCAAATCTTAGGGGCACCCTGAGACATACGTTGACAAGTCCAATGTGCTTGTAATTTCACCAGCACCCTCACCTTTCCAAACCGGAACGCAGTAATGCTAATATTACTACTTGGCGGTAGAAATAGATAAGGTGACACTATTTCCCTGGACGAACTCTTTCACAAGGAGTTCTACTGATACTGCATACAGAAAGGAATTGGTCTATAAAGGTGCAGTAACATCATCAGAATTTAAATAATTCAGATCTATTGGTTCTTTATAATGTGCACTGCACAAAAATTTTATGTCAGCCATCGCAAGAATCGGTACACGTTAAATTTCAACGATAGAGTATGCGTTCGAATTGATGGCCTCCTATGATAAGATAAACAAAACAATCGAAATAAAAAAAATAAAAAATCTTTTGAAACGATAAGGTTCATCCTTAAAGAGCGTGATTATTAACTAGCCAGACAATTTTCAACAAACAACATTTAAAAGTAAGACAATGCCTTGTTGCAAACATACTTTGTTAATGTGAAATTCATCAGAGAAATAAAAAAATACCGTATATAATTTTGTGAGAGAAATTAGAATTTTTATCCGACTTTAAAAGACTTTTCAATTATCTTAGTATTTTTCTTTTTTTTTTTTTGGATGTGGCACATTTGTGAACCGATTCTGATGTTTCTTTTTTGTTAGAAGGAGGGTTCCTAATTTCAATTTGAGGAAAATATTCCATCTCTAAAGGTGGCAAACTAGAGGATGAATCCGGTTTCGCGCACTTATCGGTAACCGATGTCAATAAAACTTGGCAAATACATGTAATTCCACGAACTTTTGAGGTCGGGTTTCTTATAAAAACAGTTATTTAAAAGAGAAGTACGTATAAATTTTGAGTTCTTAGCTTTTCGCGATTGTTACACATTTTTCGGATCTAAATCACATAGTTATTGGGACAATGAATAATAATTACAACTATTTTGTAAAAAAACCTACCGTAAAAGTTTTTGGAATCTATTTGCAAAGTTTTATTGCAATTAGGTAACGGAAAGTAGGTACCACCCTTAGAGGTGGAATATCTCAAATCTCAAATGTCGGAGTAACCGCGTAAAACACACACAAAAAACAATCATTCGAATTGAGAACCTCCTCATTAATTACATTTTTATTGAATTGATATTCAATTATTTTTTGTGAAATGACTCCACCAGTGTGTTATAATTAGGTATTAATACAAATATCGAACACTCAGAAAAAACACTCAGAAAAAATTCCTTCGATTCGGTCGGATTCGAACCGACGTCTTCTTGCATACCGTGCCAGACGCTATACCAACTAAGGTAAGTACACGGAACGAACCAACGGACCTCACGAATTCTTCTATATGCTTGCGTCGTGTCTTTGTACTTGGTCTTTCAACGACTTTTTAGTCGTAGCGCCATCTATGAGAAATCTTTAACAGAATCTAATCCGACCGGATCGATGGAATTTTTTCTGAGTGTTCGATCTTTGTATTAATAATTATAACCTCCTCGTTGTTTTGAAGTCGATTAAAAATAAGATATTTAATTTAAAACTTTTTATGAATATGGTGAAAAATACAGTTTTTTGCACTAATTTTCTCCGACAGTGAGTGCGTTCTTTTCTGGGACCTTTTAGCCAACACTCTGTATAGTTTTGTCGTACTCATACAATACGGAGACGTTGTAATCTGTAAGGATTAAATCTCTCTTATAGATTACAACGTCGCGTCCACTTCATCTGATTCAAAGTCAGATGACCGAGTCTGAAATATTTTTGACGACCTCGGTGGCCAAACGGTTTGTACAGTAGGCGCTGGGTGAGAAGATCCCGGGTTCGATTCCCGGTAGGAGCGATTTGGGAAATGAATTTTACTAAAATGTCTCCAATCTGGGTATGCTTAAAGGTCTAGAGCGAATTACGTTGCTCTGGTACTTAGTAGAACTACTTGTGAAAGAGTTCGTCGAGGGAAGTACTGCCACCTCACTTATTTCTGCCGTCAAGCGTAATGTGAGCATTACTGCGTTTCGGTTTTGAAGGGCAAACGTGCTGTAGAAAATAAAGGCATATGGGACATATGCCAAAGGAATATGGATAAAATGCAGTTATGAAGGGTGAGGGTGCTGCTGAAATTACAGGCACATGGGACTTCTTACGTCTCAGGGCGACGGGCGCAATGGCAGTGTCCCTCAGATCTTTGCGATTTAAAATTCTGAGTGGCACTGCAACTGTAATGGACAGGTGTGTCTCCTACCACCAGGATGCACGACTTGTTCATCCCGCCACTTGGTTTTTATTATAAATAAAAAATGTACTTAATTTATTTGAAAATATTTTACTAAAACAACTATTGGAAGGCTCAAAGTGTCACAATTTTTTACATTGTTCGAACAAGATTAAATTTCGTTTTTCAATGTTCTACATGTACTTAATAGTTCATCGCGTAGTCACTTCATAACAATACACAGTGATTTTTCTAGATCCTGTTCTTTGCCACCCTTTATTACTATAACTCAGAAACGTATGTATAGTTGTGAATAACATTGGCACAACGTCTAGAGCTGGAAGAGATTGGGGTCCAATATGCTGTCTTGTGGCACTCCAAAGGTCACTTGTTAGAAACGACAACATAATATATAATCATGCTAGCTGGTTTCTGCGGCTTCATACTATACTAATTTTCACAGTGTTACTGGTTCTCCATACAAACTTTCATCCCCTACTTCACCCTCTTTAATATTTATTTTCCTGACAAAAAGTAATCCTCGTCTTCCTAGGTTATATCTATCTCTATACCAAAATTTATCAAATTTGGTTCAGCGGTTTAGGCGTGAAAATGTAACAGACAGAGTTACTTTTGCGTTTATAATATTATTTTGGATGAATTGAATGTGCGTAATGGTGTGGTAATAATTTGTCGCCACTCTAGACTCATTTTGTGCTATTTACAGAAGTAACCTTCCAATTCAAATGTATCATTACGTCGATTATTTAATTTAAACTCAAATCGATTCAACAGCTCTAATTTTCCAATTAAATCAAGCATCCTGTTTTTTGCTAATCGGTTTCAAGTGTTGATAAGTTGAGTCAATCAATGATTCAGGAACTAACCAACCGTGAAGGTTGTCGGCGGCTTCAAAGACAGTCCACGCCCGTGACAATAACAATGATGTAATGTTTACCTTTACTCATTTACCTACTTAAGTTTGATTATTTCATTATGACAGTTCATGTTCAAGGTTACTTTTATGGGTACCTATGTGTATTGCGTAATCTGTGATACAAACGGTTTAACTTTCTGTTTAGTTTTTGGGATCATGGCTTTAACTTATTTTGGTTAGAACATACGTATAATGATTAAAGGAATTTATTTTCAACATCTTTTTATGCATGATCCTCTTTCAAGCTGAGAACGGTTAGTATACCCGAAAATCCACTAATGTTAATAAAATTGTTTTCAGTACCAAGGACTCTGGTACGAAATTGCCAAAATCCCAACTCCGGCTGAGAAGGATGGAAAATGTGGCACTGCTGAGTACAAACTGGAAGGTGATATCGTCAAACTGAAGAATACTCATGTTGTTAATGACGTTCAAACATACATCGAGGGTACTGCTAAGCTTGCAGCTGATGCCAACAATGCTGCTAAGCTAATTGTCACTTTCAAGTTTGGTGGTAAGTCCT